TCTTACAATACCTCTTAATTACTTATTTAGTATCTTACAATAACTCTTAATTACGTCTTTAGTATCTTACAATAACTCTTAATTACTTTTTAGTATCTTACAATATCTCTTAATTACTTCTTTAGTATCTTACAATAACTCTTAATTACTTCTTTAGTCTCTTATAATACCTCTTAAATGGTGTATTAGCCTAGAAGTTTACTAAATCCATTAAACTTCAGAACAACCATAAAAACATTGTTTAAAGCTGTAAAGCATTCAGTTTCTAAGCAATTAAATAATAATTTACTGTTTTAAATGTAAAGAAAAATGTATTATATTTTCCTTAGCCAAGTAATATAACTAAAATTTCCAATTCGAAAGCTCTTCTTCTTTAGTAGAACATTACCTCTGCTTTTCAAGGTTTTTGTATTAAAAAATAATAATAATAATGCGTGAAAGCCATCCATCAGGCGCTTTTAGAAGGTGTTAGTCAAACTCGTCAGTCTACTTACGAAAGAGACAATTGTATTGTCCTGGTTACTTTGTTAGGAATCTGACCTTGAAAATTTATAAAATATATTATGGACCTAGTATACAGTTTTTATTTTGATATATGCCAAAGTGTGATGATAACATAGTCTAGCATAATTAGTGTAATCTATTAAACCAAAAATCAAAAAGATATATGATATCAATTTACGTTTGTTTATCTTGATTTTTGACAACAGAGGATATTCTAAGTTTCATTTTCCTGCGTCCATTTGTGATCCATTTCTATACTTTCTGTTCACTTCTGGTAAGAAACTCTTTTTTTCTTATCTTTTAGCCCAAAGATTTCCCTTACCACCAACACCACCATCATGTAATAGCAGCGATTCTGAAGGCAGTGTTTCGCCAGTTCATAATCTTACCATGCCTACATCTTCTCATACATTCACGCTAGGTGGCGTCACCTGCTCCACTTCATCCACTAGGAAAAGTCCATTTAATCCTAAAGTTCTACTGCCATCTGGAATCGGGAGGAATTTAAGTAACTCCTCTTTAATTAGCTATCAACCGGTAAGCTTGCATTTGTTAAATATTAACGTGAAGCATTCTTCCAGGCGTTTGTAGTTTATGTAAGCACTAATATATGATATTGACAAACAAAATCCTTGCTCGCTTCAGGATACGATGCGATGCTTTGGAAGTGGGAATATTTTATTTTATCACACTTTTAAACTTTACATCTCATAAGGATAATGTGAACAAGGAAAACAACTGTTCATACAGTGAGAAAAGTATAACCAGATAATTCGTGTGAATTTTTTTCTATACCTTTGTAGACGTGTTATATTAAATTATGATATTAGTAGATACATTTAATAAATGTGACTAATTTGTTATTTATTAAGTGGCTCAGCGGTAAGGCTGAAGGCTGAAAACTGGGTTTCGATACCCGTGGTGGCCACAACACAGATAGTCTATTGTATAGCTTTGTTATTAACAAGAAACAAACAAACAAATCTTGAACTGCTCTAGTTTATTTGATTTTAAAATGTTTTCTAATCTTACATATTGTAAATAAATAACGAGTTTGAAGAATGTTAAAAAATGAATCATTCTGTTCGTCATCTCTTTAAAAAATGTATTTAATCTTTCAACTGATATGTTTCTATTTTGCGTTTTCAGAAAGGGGCAACAGGTGTCTTAAATCTTACGGAAGAGGAAAAGCGCACTCTAGTGGCGGAGGGTTATCCTATTCCTCAGCGATTGCCTTTAACAAAAGGAGAAGAAAGGTCGTTAAAAAAGATCCGCCGGAAAATAAAGAATAAGGTAATACATATTATGTCACAGATGAGAGAAGTTGTTGAAAAAATATTTGAAATAGAAAACCGTAGAATATTTAAACACTAATATTAATTCAACAACTATTTATTTTAACATTTTTAACTCTTCTGTTATACAAATGTATATGTTAGAAAGAACTACATAATAATATATCACATTACATGATCTTCCAGAGAAATTTCATACAGCATTTTATGTTCCACAAATTTTCTTATTCTTATTAACAATATTAAGACAATTTTAGAGACGTAGTGGTTAGGGTTTATTCTGAAAGATTATTTGAATTCTTAAAAAAAAAAGCATACTTAATAGGAATGTTTTTAAAGCCATTATTCAGATATTTTAAGATATTTTTCTGATTATCACTATTTTATCGAATTGTTTTTTAAACCAACCATGTCACGTCTATCAGTTTATTTCGGTAACGTTAAGGTGGAAAAGCTTACGTCAGTTTGTTTCTTTATTTATATTTCGAATCCGTATTTCAGTTGATAGAAGTTTGATAATGTGGGTGTGAAAATAACATATAATCAGCATTCTTGAACCGATGTGGGTATAATTGAATCAAAATTTTCAATATGTGTTTCATTTCTATCTTATCAACTATTTCTGGACCTAACAAAATAAGGCAGTTTTTGATCTGTACTGTAATTACAAAATCTTGTATTTGCTTAACAGATATCGGCTCAGGAAAGTAGAAGAAAGAAAAAAGAATACGTGGATGCGTTAGAAAAAAGGTAGAAAACATGATTTACTCTTACATTACGACTTCAAGTAACATCGATAAAGAATTGAAGCTTATTTCATATGATATTGCCTGGCGAGTTTTACAATAGTTTTATTCTTCATATTATCTTAATGGTTGTGAAGGGACTGGGGCTTATTTCATATGGTCTTATCTTATTCTTTCTAATTCGATTGTCGAGTTTTAATTTCTTATTATTATTTATGAATTTTAGAGTGGAGAAATTAACAAGTGAAAACAGTGATTTCAAGAAAATTGTAGATTCTTTGGAAAACAACAACAAGTGAGTCTTTCAAAATGGTTGTGATTTTAATATAAAGATTATGTTTTGGTATGCTGCGTAAATCTTAATATGTAAATATATATATATATTGAATTTCACAATTCAATGAAAATATTTTAAACATACTGTCCAGTTTTTAAAAAAATTGAAATCTACCTTATTTTTTTATTTATATATATATATCCAAGTGGTTAATTGAAATGAAATTATGACAACATAATGACGTTGATTTGGTGCAATAAATGTCGTCTCAAACAAATCCCCTCGCTCTATCTTTGGCATATTTGATGTACTTTGGTGTAGTCGGTTTTTTTCTACATAATAGTATACATACCCCCCCCCATTCTAAAATTTGATAGTCTTATAACTAAATCTTCAAAAAATGTCCCTTAAATAAACTACAGCACAAAATCATACAATGGCATTTCGTAATAACAAGGTCAATTACTTTAATAAAATCGATGTCAATGTTCATGGTCGTCATGAGTATTAGACTATCTTGTACATGTTTCTTTAAAATTTCAGGGGGTTTAAACCCACTATCCCCCTGGACACGATCTTACATGATACTTTTTATTGTTTACTGGCTGACGTACAGTTCGGCACACGAGAAAAATATGGAGGAGTCAGATCGGAATGCTAACCCCCTTTGTCACACCTTGGGTGCCCTAAAGGAACACGCCAGAATTAGCGATAGTCGGTCAAGCGATTCGCTAGTTATCATAACTGAGATTGTACAGGCCCTCACGATAAGTGATTTAAATAGGTTTCGGATAATCGCGTAAAACTACTCAAGTTGTTGTTATCAAGCACAAAGTTACACAAAGGGCTATCTATGCTCTACCCACCATCGGTATCAAAACCCGGTTTCTAGCAGTATAAGTCTGCAGACCTACCACTGTGCTACTGTGGGGGGGGGGGGGGGGGACTACTCAAGGGCTATGCGCGTTAATCGATCTTAATCTTGAACTGATGCATTAGAGGAGGATAACTAGTCTACAGCCAACCCTTCTAGGCAGAACAGTGAAATTTGACTGAATAAATAAATTGACCGTCACCGTTACAATGAAAAATACTAAAAGGCAGAGCGATTTTTGTTTAATGGCGGTAAAGAGACGCTAACACTGGACTCACAGATCCATGTTCCGGTTCGATAAACATTGGGCCACGTTCGCCCTTATCAGGTGATTAAAGTTCGTAGATGTTTTTATTTTTTAAAAAAGAAACATTTGATTTTTGTAATTTCATAGATAATTTCTGAAAACCTTTATATATATATATAACCTTTCTTACAGTTAATTTTAAGATGTGTTAGGTCAGGGTTTAAGATATGCCCATTATTATAACTTGTTTTATTTTCTTTCGACTTTTTTTATTTCTAGGTCATTAATTTCTCAACTTCAGAAGCTTAAAGCTTTGGTTGGCGAAGAGTGTACTTCGGAAAGCAGGACAGTAGCAATTCAAGCTTCTGAACTGGTTAGTGGAAAGTTCTGTACAAATATTATCTTTCTTTCCTGGACGTAACTGAGTACAAAGTGTTCTGAAAATCAACGTAAAGAACAAACTCTATTACCCACTGTTTTTCTTGCGAAAATTAATTTCTAACAATTAACAACTATAATTTGCCTGTTCCGGATAATGCAAATATTGTAAGTTTCGTTTTAGAATTGTGTCCTGCTTATAAGCTGCATTGGTTCAGAGAACAAACAGTGTTACTTCCCCTAAGTAGGACGTTACAGTCGGTAAGTCTTACAGGTAATTAATTTACACACTGCCTGTGACAGAGAGAGGATAATGAACTATTACTTCCCCTAAGTAGGACGTTACAGTTGGCAAGGTTTACAGGTAATTAATTTACACACTGCCAGTGACAGAGAGAGGATGAGGAAATATTACTTCCCCTAAGTAGGATGTTACAGTTGGCAAGGTGACAT